TCTTACATCCATCGGATTGCCCAGCACGCCGGGGAGAATCACATTAGACGGCTAGACGCGCTTACCGGTGTCATCCCCCTGAGCCCCTGGTTGCCCGCGCGCCGCCCCGCGCGCCTCTCTCCCCCACGCGACCCCCCGGGGCACAACAGCGTCGCGTCGCCAATGAGATTATGCGTGCCGAAATCACCTCGTCTGCTCCCAGTCCGCAGCAGCGTCGCCGCCACGCCACGACGTCCTCCTGGGTACTACGTCAACACCGCCACAACGCCCGTCGCTGACCGCCCCCGCCTCCGGCCTTGTTTGTAGCGGGCCCCGTGCTGGCGTGCGTGGCCGAGGCGGTCTCCGAGCGGAGGGCCCTGCACCGCAAGCACCTGCACATGCTGGTGCAGCCGCAGACCCCCAGGCTCAACCTGTCGTGGGGAGACGCCGACGGCTATCACGGCATTCAGTTCGCGGGCCAGCGCTGCAAGGTAACCTCCTCGTCCTCACCACCCACGGCGCCGCCTCGCCCCAAGCTGCGTCCAGATACAGGGTGCGGTCGCCCTGCGCGGTCGCTGTGCCCCGTCCCAGCAAACTCGTACACTAGCCCGCAAGCACGGCAGCGTGCGGGTTGCATATTCGCACGGGGCCTTAAGGGATCATCCGGAAAGTACGTCCGCTTTTCACAGTTTCATTCGTCCAATTGCGGGAGCTCGGCGCCTGCAAGACTCGGGATAGGCAACCCCGCAGTGCATACATGCCCTGCAGGCGAGATGTTGCCTACCTGGCAGGCGTTGTTAGAGCTTGCGGCGGCTGAACTTTGCAGGTTCGTAACGGTGAATTACGGACGTACTTTACGGAAAATCGGTAAGGTGCCAGCTACGGCTCCAGACGATAGGCAATCCCGGCCCTCACACCCGTGCTTTCGGGCTAGTATTCGCTGGGGCGGAGCACAGCGACATGACATGGTTCTGTTGGGTGTCTGCATCTGATAGTATGAGAAAATAGAACGTTACGATTGGCTGTAATTGGTCCAATCTCGATATTTTTGTTTTTATAGTAGCAGGTGCAGACACCCTGAACACTCGCGTATCTGGAGGCAGGTCCACATCACATCAGAGAAGGCACACTCGATGTTACAGGCATGCTCTTTATCATCGTCATCGCCACCACCTGCTTGTAGACTTAGTGCCGCAGCCACCATAGGGTGCCTCCTCCCCCGGAACAGAGAGGCACCTGGGGAAATCCGTCTACAATCGGATTCACCTGATATCATTGTTTAGAGTTCTCGTACCCACCCCATCTCTTGCGCAGCCAGTATTTTCACTTGTGACACCTCTTTAGCGAACGTAGGCTTCCACAGGCACACCGCGTCATCACCCCCTCCCCCTAACCCTCTGGTGACTCGCTACCAGCTGAATTTTGCACACCGTGAGCATAGTAGACTACGGGAGGAGCAACGGGAGCGAGAGAGAGCAAAAAAGAGAGAGAGCGTGAGAGAGGGCGAGAGAGAGCGAGTAAGAGCGAGAGAGAGAGGGGGGGGGGGGAGGGGGAGGGAGGGGGGGGGGGGCAGCCACATACTACCGCACCCCCGCGCAGCTGCAGTCTGAGCAGGACTCTCTGCGCTCGCGGGGGAGGCATTGCCCCCTGCTCTCTTTCTCTCTCACTCTCCCTCTCTCTCTCTCTCTCTGTCTCTACCTCTCTCTCCCTCTCTCTCTGTCTTGTGTGTGTCTCTCTGTACCTCTCCTCCCTCTCTCTCTCCCTCTCTCTCAGCTTCCTCTCAATCCCTCACTGCCACCTCTCGCCCTATTTTTGGCACGGTCGTTAAACTGCTAGATGCACTGACTGCAGCAGGTGTGCGTGCACGTGTGTGAGTGCGTGGGTATGTTTGTGTATACGTGTGCTCCGCGCCCTCCGGCCCCTCCACTCTGACACTGACCTTCGCGACGTAAAGTCTCACGCTTGGCGCTACATGTGGGGTGGGGTCGAGGAGCCACGGCGGTGGCCAGCCAACCCGCGGCGCGACGGCGCACCCCAACAAGTCCTTCTGCTGTCTCCTCCCAGTGAGCAAATGAGGTGTAGTCGCCTTTCAAATCGCCCCGCCCAAGTTCTCGTGTTCCGCCTCTGAGGCAAGCGAGGCTTTCCTCTCGTCAACAGCACAAGCACGACGCTTCATCCGTGATGTCGGATTACCCATGGACAAATGTGAGGCGCCTTCATTTGAACTGCGGGGCGGCGCGGGGCGGCGCTACTGCTGCTTCTGTGGAGCGGGCGGGCTGCCGCTAACGATATTCTGGGCAAGCGGACTCTGCCCTGAAAAACAAAGCCTCCTCCGAGGCCTCCTCGAATCCCGGAGAAATGGAGACGGCTTGGGAGAAGCCTGGGGAGGGAGGGGAGGGGAGGGTGAGAGAGCGGCTGGGGGAAGAAAGGGATAGGACTGGAAGCTTTTTGAGCGCAGGCTGACTCGGCCCACGCTGGCGCTAAACGCTGCAGCGGCCGACGCTTGTCCGTGCTGCTGGCTGGAACAAAGGGCTGGCAGTGAAGGAGGCACTCTCCGACCCCGCCTTCATTTTCGTTTAAAGAGGGGCACATACCACCACCGGGTAGGAAACTGAGAAGGGGGGTTTGAGGGAGGAGGGGGGGGGGAGAGCACTGCTTTACCCTCCGGTGGAGACAGTTTTGGGTACTGTCCAAAAAATGCGACTGATAGGGCTCCTGTTATTCTCAATAAGAGGGTGGCTCCGACCCGGCCAAACGCCTGGAGGGTAGGCCATGCGACGCACTGGTGCGCGCGCGCGCTGCCTACGCTCCAGGCGCTCCGCCTCGCGCGGGCCGAGACAACCCGCCAACCCTCCACTTAGTTTCTCCTTTTTGTAATTTTTCTTGAGTAAGCGCAGCCTTGGCCGGGCGCTACGCTTCTGCCGTGGCCGCTGCGCGCCGGGGTGCACTAACGGGGGAGTAGGATTAGTGCGCCCCGGGGGAGAGGCGGGGCAGGGCGGCGGAGAGGGGTGAAAGGCGAAGCGTGCCTTTTTGCCCGGGAAGGCAGTGGGTGGGAGGTCCAGAGGGCGAGCCTGGAAGGCCAGCAGCCCGCAAGCCCTGCCCACCCTGCCCTCTTCGCCCTCGATCAAAACGGAGGCTCAGGTGAGGAAAGAAGCGTGGAGGTTGTAACACTGCTCAAACAGCGCGCTGTAGCGGTCCCCCCGCCCTCGCACCCTATCCCTACGTGTCGGGGCGACGTGCTACGCTCCCCGCGTGTTTCTCCCTTCGGCTCGGCTCTCGCCCCAGTCGGCTTCGGCTCGGCTTGGCCCAGCGGCTCGGCTCGACAGCGGGGCGCGGGAAGGCCGGGGATAAGCGCCGGCCGATAGCAGGAGGGGAGGAGGGTATGTAGGGGTATTGGAACCGACCAAGCTTGAAATTCGACTCGAGGAGAACCCCGTTCTCCTCCACCCGTCTGCCGCCGGTGGGGTCCCCGACAACACGCTCAAACCAATCGGTTGGCGGGTTAACCCGCGCGAAAAACGAGCTGGTTCATGTATATACCCCGACGCAACATCGCGAGCTCCACCTTAATACCGGGTGCCGTCCGCGCCATCTGCATTTATCAACAAGAATAGCCTCACGGCCGTCGTCTGCGCCCCCTCTCTGCGCTGTGACGACGGACGGGCCGGAGCGCCGGAGTGCTCTCCTGGAATTGAATTATTATTATCCACGGCAATCAGCAGCAGGAGCAGGGCGCGAGGCGCGCGGGCCGCCG